GTCGAAGTAAAATTTCTTAATCTTATTCTTTTAACTCAGAAAGCTAATTTTAGGAACCCCTACCCCCAATTTTTAATGAAAAAATACTATTTTTTAACCATCTTTGCAAATTAAACGCTTGATTAAAGAGTTCTGGTATTTTTTTTTTAATATTTAATGAATTAAATGAAAATAAGATTCTCCTTCTAAAACATCTACGAAAATGGGGGGTCAGTATGCTTCTTTTTTTGTCCCATTATCATTTGTGTTATTTTTTTACCTTTTTCGGGGTCAAAAATCAAAAGTGCTTCAGTTACAGTAAATATGTAAAAAAATATATCAATAATGTATAATTTTCCAGTTTGTTGCATAATTTTTATCATATTGAACATTATAAAGTTGTACAGCAAAATTGAACCTACTACAATTAAAAATGGCAACACAATGACAATTTAAGTGATCAATCATGTGTCAAAAAAGGTGAAATTTTGGCCTTTTTTTAGGCGCAAGAAATGCACATTAATACACATTTTCAAAATGGCCACCAAATTGGTATTTTTTTTTTAAATTCTTGTAAAAGAAAGTTTTACAAACAACAGGCATCTAGTTTTTTGACATATTTTTCAGATACGTGCTTGCTAATAAACTTGATCATTATTTGTTAAATATTACAAAAACCCATTACACCAGATCAAAACGAGACTTGAACGTGACTGAAACCTCAGAGGAGTGCATCCTTAAGAACCATGATACCTACAGGAACGATGTTTGGATGTAGTGTGGCCAGGACCGCTACGTATTTCCACTCAAAAAAGTGTTTTTGAAAAGTACTCTTTTGACTGTTAAAGTGGATGTATGTTATTTGTTTGAATTAAGATGATAATTCGCTCAAGCCTAATATTATGACTAAAGGATTCGTAGCTCTCATGTAAAGTATATTACTATACTATTACTATGTCCACGCTGTAATGGACATTAAGTTGAACCTTAAGTCTAGCCTAAAATATGGAGCCTGTCGCAAAGTCTATTCAGTGTCAGTGACCTTCTTTTTATGTAA